TTGCAGGCTTTATCAAACTAGCGATGGTACTGAGCACTTTTGTGTGCCCAAACATTGCATCAGCCCTAATTTTTGAATTGCGTTATGCTTAAGCCTGTAAACTTTTATAGTAATCTGTAAACCCCCATATCTGTGAATGTTCTGGCCAGACGAAAATTTGGGGTAGATTTAGTTGCAAAAATCCTTGGAAAACTTTCTAAATACCCGATGTAGTTTACCTGTGTGGTTTCAGAATTGCATCACCAATCGGATTACGAACGACTGGAAGTACATGCTGGAAACTGTTTTACCTTGTTCCTATGCACTCTGTATGGCAAATACTTACGTACTTTTGTTCCGCTGACAGTCTGTTGCCATTTTTCGAATAGTACGCGGTTATACCAAAGTAGCTGATGGAATTTACCACGGCTATTTACACAGCGTTTCGAATCAAACTTGAAACTGCCTGTCACGACAGACTTACTCCAAGCTGTCGCATTGATTTCCTCAGAAATTACTTCCCCAACTTTCAGTATTTAAGAAGCAGATAACCACTTTAAATGGCATGCATATCTTCAAAAGCTAGCAATTAGTGACAGCCGAGAAAGACAGGGAAGACTAAAAGGGGTTGCTGCCGTCACCTGAGGTTCGAATCCACGATTTGTTGGTCAGAAGCACAACGTTCTATCCCACAGCGCACTGGCTCGTTGCCCTGCCATTGGGGGAGTGCCTAACTACTGCAGTTAATCTTTCCAATTGAAACTGGCAGGAGAAAAGAGCCTTGTCGCATTGGATAAGACCATTGCATTTCTAAGGAAGAGTTCGCTACTTCAAGACTTGGGTGCCGAAAACCCCGCAGTTGGACATGGCTGACTGATGAGGACTACTTAAACGAAAAACGCTATCTTAGTCCTACTTGGCCTTGTCGGTCTGTCTAGTCCCTGTGCGCCTGCTGGTGGGGCTCGGGGGCGAGCTCCAAGGTACAGCGGGGCCAGTGATTCCCTCAAAAGGGTTGGTGAGGCGTCAAACCCGAGGTACAACGAGAACGGGAGAGGGATCGGTTGACAACAATTCGCACTTAATCTGCTTTCAAAGTGGCAATCATCGAAAGCTAGTGAGAGAAGCCAATATTTCTGAGGGCTGCCAAATGCCAGATGGAATTTTGTGGCCCCAATAATCCTAGACTGTTGTGTGTACGGATAGTAAAGAAAAGCACCTTCTGAGACTGCTCGTTGCTATCAGAGACGGGTCATGCTCGTCTGAATTGAGCCTTGGGGCTCACTTTCGAGACAGGCCAGCTACTCTGTAGTGACTAGCATGGTAGGCAGGATATAAAAGACGAGGGAAAATTAAACAATCACTAACTGAGTGGTTCAAGGTCGCAGGTTCAAGTCTCATGGAGGGTAGAACCTGCAGCCAAAACCCGGGAATGAACATCCCAATCTTTCATTGGTGATCGGCATTTATTCTCTTTCTATATTAGTAGCTGTTGTACGACTGCTGGCGGGGCCCCAGAGGAACACCAGAATTATTTTTGCAATGTTAAGCGACCGGTTAGAGCCATTTAGACGTTTGTACTATTACGGATCACAACCGAGAGTGTAACTAGCCCGTAAATAAATGATAAAGATGATATAGGTCTAACCATCGGGTCAGGTTTTGAAACTTGTGGGTTGCAACACCTGGATTTGGTATGGTTTGATAATGACGGCGAATAAGCCAACAATTTTGATTCCAGTCTCACTTGGCTCTGTCGGTAAGATAAGTATATTTAAACTGCATGATATTCAATGAAAGACGTAGAAGAACACAATGATTAGTGTTGAGATAACGCGAACATCGTAACTATCGTGAGTAAAAAACCTCGCAAAACAAGAAAACATTATTGAGTAATTTACGAAAGCACAGATGGCAAAGTAATTACATTATGTAACACTACTTAAAGACAAATTTTAGGCATTCTAGCGGCGTATTTTTAGAAGAGAATTGTGGATGAATTAGATGTAACAGGGTAAAGTTCTGCTCGAGTCCGACCTATAGCTCAGATGCCTAGGTTCTCATTTCCGTGGTCAGAATATTCCGCCTCTAAACAGGTTTTCAAGAAAATCAGAGCTATATGCTTCGAAAATGAGAGCAATTATTATGTGGCTGTTTATAGTAAGCTGCGTTTAAGGACGATTGCTAACTAGAATATGAAATGTTTAGCCTAGCAAAGGATAAATTGTCACACGTCACATTACTGAGTAAAGGTTATCTGCAATCTACCCTCCACGGCGCTTTAAAATACTGAACACAGTTCAGCTGCATTGCCTCTCCAAGAAACATTGAATTTGACAGCATATTAACAACCTATCGTGGTCATAAACGCACGGCATCTGGATAAGATAAGTCCACTTACTATTAATAGGTCGGTGGATGCTTTGTTCCTTTGCGTATATATTTTATTTGAGTTAATTATAGCGACCAGACTGAGCTCCCCAAATTATGGGTTTTATTTTAAGCAGTAAGAAGCACTTTAAACGAATATATGTGCTTAAGTGGCCAATGGCACTGCGAGGGAATATACATGCTAACGTAATTGTTTTTGAATCGTTTGAATTCGCTGAAACAGTCTTTAATCTCAGCACTAAGCATCGTCTTTGAAGATGGATGCTTCTAGGCCCAATGTGGGCACGCCCACGTAATTTTCGTGCAAAAAAATTCTGGCGTGAGGAGATTTTGCCTAACAGGTGGAATGGACGAATGAGTTGGATAAAATAGTCATCTAAATCATAACTGATTTAGGGCATGAAATGCTACGTTACGAATGTGAAATTAGACGCCAGCGTGACAGTAGGATTGAAGAGAACTCCATATTAAATAGCAAGCAAAGGGCTTTCGAGGTTTTTAAAGCCACTGCTTCATTTTGTCTACAGTGCGTAGAGCATACCGTTTCTTTAAAAAAATTACTCAGCATTATCGTTAATAGGAAATTTGCGCTGAGAAACGATATTCCTGTTAAGAATTTAAGTATGTGTATACATTTACAGGGCAGTGAAGAAGGATTGAGCAAATTTAATGCAAAGCACGCTTTCTCTGACCACACAAAACTACGAGAAATGTTATCGGCATAAATTTAGTAAAGAGGACCAATCACTTTCAAAAAAGTCACGCAGTTCTGGAGCCTGAATTTCCTCCTTTTATAGAGTATCTTTCTTAATTATTCATGTCGTCAATCCAGTAGATCGGCACCTTTTAAATGTTGTTGAAGGGCAAATTAAAGGGGTAGTATCTAAAAGCACAAGTTCTTAATATTCAGCCATACGCAATCCTCTATGTAAATCGACCAAGATTCGTACTCGCGAGCCATACGTGTTTCCCAACCAGACCAAGAAAGCCCATTCTATCATCAAATTTCCTATCGGAAATGGCAAAAAGTGGGCTCACGGCTCAAGCATAGACAGTTATGCCCCATGACAAAAAGGTTTTGAGCTCTAGTCACGCGTGATCCACAACCGGGATCGGGTACGATTGGCGGATGACGGCTGATAAGTCAGAAATGGCCATTCCAGTCTCCTTTATCTTCGTTGGTTCCACTTTATCATATATAACCACCACCACTAGTGCCATCAGTGAAGAGATGCCTACGCAGGGCGATGTATGCTGCCACAAGATCGATAAATCGATTGACTGAGTTCTCATCCGAGGCCCAGGCTTCAATCAGGTCGCGACCTGTTTTGTTCCTGGCGATGATGCGTCAGCCCGCCGTACCGCCGGCATACATTGGCCTACGCAGGCATCTCCGGACTGATGACACTGGTGGTTGACTAACTCACCCTCCCCCCTCTCCTCCATAGCGGTTGATTGGCCCCTGCCTCCTATAACTGCTGCTTGTCTTTCGTTGACGCATTTTATCTCTGACGATGGACTCCAAAAAGAGCTCGAAAGCTCAGACAAGTAAAACTATCATTTCCGGTGATCAAAACACCTGCTACTTCTCTATCTACACACATACCTGTGATGCGAACATTACTCTCAATTGTACATTTTGCTCTGGCTCGAATTTCTTAAAAAATCCTCTATATTAGTGCTGTTTTATCTCATTTCAGCGGACATGGAACAAAATCCGAACAAGCTCTTTCGAAGAGAATTTGAAACAATCGATTCTGTCAACGGATCAACAGCCCTCCTGGATTGCCACATGTCGAAGAGCCTGAGTCCTGATGTACGTTTTCACCGACAGAACCACTAAAGTATTTACTTAAGATACTTCAAACACAGACTATCTTATTTTTTTTATTAAGTATGAGCATTTCATTTGGTAAAACAAAATGAAAAATTCGGAGCAGCTTATTTC